AAGTGCCAGAGGGCAGGATGAGAAACAATGGTTGGAAACTGATGAAGCAGAGAGAGAAGCAACCTGGAATTAAGGAGAAACTTCCTGACAGTGAGGACAATCAACCAGTGGAACAGAAGTTGCCTCCAGAAATCGTGGGTGCTCCATCACTGGAGATTTTTTAAGAAGAGGCTGGACAGTCACTTGTCTGAGATGGCACAGGGTCTCCTGCTTGAGCAGAGGGCTGGACTAGAAGACCTCCAAGGTCCCTTCCAGCTCTGTTCTGATTGATTGGTTGGTTGGTTGATTGATTGGGAATCAGGACAGCGTCAACATGGCTGGGACAGCCTTGGACAGCAAAGACCCTGGCTTGGCCATGTTCTTCCACTGGATGGCCTGGGAGAAGAGAGCACCAGGCACTTGGGTGTCACCCTTGAAGACTGGTCGTCCAGAAGGCAGGAGTCTCTCTCAGCAGCTTCCCAAGACTGCAGCTGTCCTCAGACTGCCCATCAAAGCTCCCAGCAAACAGTATTCTTCACAATGACAGAAAGGTAATTATTACATATGTGGGCAGTAATTGTATTTCACAAATTTAATTCAAATTAAATATGCTGGGAAGGAAGACTAAACCACTGACAACAGATAGAACAACACGCCTTAGATTGAAGGCAATGAAGACGTCAAAGTGGTGGACGGCCTTTGAGGATCAAGCACGGCAGTCAAGGCACCAGCAGTCGGGAAAGGAGCTGCAGCCAGCGCTGGGCAGAGCCGGCCAGGAGGCCTCGGGAAAGATCTCCAGACGCCGGGATGGGTCTACAGCTACAGAGAACAGGACTGTGCAAGCTGTGATATTCCCCGTGACGCCCTACGGAAGCGAACAATGGTTTCTAGCCCGGTGCCTTAACCACTAGACGCAGCAGCGGTAGGCAACCTTGGCTCTCTTATGACTCGTGGACTTCAACTTCCAGAATTCCCGAGTCAGCATGGCTGGTTCAGGAATTCTGGGTATTGAAGTCCACAAGTCATAAAAGAGCCAAGGTTGCCTACCCCTGCACTAGACCATCCTTTTGGCCTGCCCCTCCCTGCCTCTCCCAAATTTATCCCCTCCCTCTACTCTGCCGGCATCTGGCTGAGACCCTTCCCCCGAGGGCGGCCTGGGGATGCCCGCAGCCCTACAGGTGGGCATCCTCTAAGCATCGGGTCCATTGCCTAAGGCAGTGGTTCTCAACCTTTTTAATGCCGCGACCCCAACCAGTCGTAAGTCGAGGACTAAACCGGTCGTAAGTCGAGGACTAAACCGGTCGTAAGTCAAGGACTACCCAACCGGTTGTAAGTCGGGGACTTTCCCTGCCCGGGAGCGCCGCGCATGCGTGGTTCCGCCCCCTGCGCCGGCCGAGGCGTAGCTGGCAAGCGGCAGAGACGGAGCAGGCCGACCACCAGCTGGCCCAGCCCAAGGGAGGTAAGGCACCCGCCGGAAAAGGGGGGAAAATGGCGGACAGCCTTGCTTGGCGACCCCCGTGAAATGGTCGATCGACCCCAAATGGGGTCCCGACCCACAGGTTGAGAACCACTGGCCTAAGGCCTGTGGACACAGTCCCTGTTTTCCTTTGAGTCAGCCTATTCGTGCTCCTTCTCTGATTCCTCGGTCTGTGCGCTTGAAGATCCTCCGTCCGTCCGTCCTTTCAGCCCGAAAGGCTCCTTGCAGCTTACAGATCTGGGCTCTCCAGGTGAATCCAGGGGAACAGAGCCTTTTGTAAGACGAGCACAATAGAGAAGCACTTCTGCAGCTGCGGTTGAACAACGGAGTCCTTGCTGCTCTCAGCTGGGCTGCCGGCTTGCAGACATTTCATTATCTGCCTAAGCAAGAGGGAGCAAGCCCCTCCCTCCCGCCCTCCCGCCCTCCCTCGCTCGGCTGATGTTAGCTGGTCGGATAATGAAGCATCTGCCAGCAAACAGCCAAGCTCAGAGACCATCACGGACTCTACAGTCAGGAGAATGCTGGTCTCTTCTCCGCCTGCTTTTTTTGTTGTGTGAACCCAGCTAGTATTTCGGCATCCCGGCCATCAGCCATGCAAGGTCTGTGCTGGGAAAGGGGAGCAGCCGTCTCAGGCTCACCCCCCCCCTCGCAGATAGGACCGGGGACTGAGGAGGGGGCCTCCTTCGCACAGACAGGTCCCCTGCAGGATCTTTGACCTCCGTCCTGCCAGCAGTTTCGGCATGGAGCCAGCCAGCGGATCTGCTGCGGCCTGGCAGGCGGCCACCCTGGACTCATCGTTCACGGCCTCGGTGGGTCGCACTGGGCTTGCTGAGGCCGTGACCCCGAGGCCTTCCTTCTTGCAGTTTCCCACAGAGTTGGAAGGCACTTTGGAGGTCTTCTAGTCCAGGGGTCCCCAACCTTGGCAACTTTAAGACTTGTGGACTTCAACTCCCAGAATTCCTCAGCCAGCTTTGCTGGCTGAGGAATTCTGGGAGTTGAAGTCCACAAGTCTTAAAGTTGCCACGGTTGGGGACCCTGGTTCTAGTCCAGCCCCCACTCAAGAAGGAAACCCTTCCCTTTCTCAGAATACAAACACACAAACACACAAACAATTGATGCAATGCTGTGGAGTTTCAAGACCGGAGGGCCTCCCTGCCGGAGACACTAAGTGACACCCAGGGCCACTGAGCATTGTCCAAGGGTGGGGCTGAGGGATCCATAGGCATGTCCGATCTCTGCGCAGTTGGTCCGTTTTTATCGGGGTGCCTGGAGAAAAGGGGAGTCATCGCACAGCCAGGGGGCTCCTCGCCAAGGTCTCCC